TTCTATGTTCCGCTCTTGTTATGGCTTCTGTTTCTGTTCGAAACGCGGATTCGTATTTGTCAGGAGTCGAACCCGCATTGTGTAAACAAATTCTCGGCATTTATTTTCACATTCATCCGCATTCATTCGTATTTGTCAGGAGTCGAACCCGCATTGTGTAAACAAATTCTCGGCATTCATTTTCACATTACGTTTCATATGATACAATGTCCTTCGGTTAGAAATTCCTTTAGCGGCCCATTCAAAAATATCGGTCTGAATTGCCCGCAAACACAAATACACTAGTTTTACGCCTACAAAAATTTCACTAGAGACACAAAAAAACTGATATGGGCCTAAGGCAACCTACTTAGGCGTCACTTTTTATCGACAGGTGCGCTGGCATTTACATAACAGGCGAATTCGATCAAAATTACAACAATTAGTTCGACACTTACAACCTCTTGAGGAACCTGCCTCTCCTTGGAACTTCGCTTGGCACTCTATAAAATTTGTCGCAGCCTGTGACCACCCACATTGCGGCAACGTGGTGGAAAACAGCACAGAAGTACAAGGATACGCTTGAGGTAGTACAGAACAGAGTTGTACGACTCATAGCACTCCCTCCGTTTCAGAAACGGTTGAACGTACTGAGGAAGGAACTTGATATAGAGTCCTTCACTCAATGCTTGAGACGGCTTTCGTTTAACGAAGCCATCAAACCTTTCAAACCAACGAAGCTCCGGCACGCTAAAAAAAATTAGCTCGTCACGTCGTTACTATAGGGCAAAGAAGACAAGCCCTCCCCTCTGATATTCTGAGGGCGTAGTGCATCACAAAAGCCGATTTGGCTACTGACTAAGGTCCGACACGAACCCACACCAGCCACTTACACGTAGCAGTAAAACGCGAAATGCGTGCGCACTGCAAATAAGTATTAAACGCCTACGTTTTCTTGAACCCTCGCATCGCTAGATGCGAGACGAGTGGGGAGTTTGGTTATTTACAAAAGGAATTTTACGTGGAATTTGTAGTTCATTTTTCCATGCAAAATAGTTTTTAATACACGGGAGCGAACATTCGTCACCAGATTTTGTCTACAACGCTCATTGCTATCCTTCATTCTTAATGCAACTAATGTTGGGAAAGGAGTGGGGGTAGATATTCTGGAAAACGTGCGGATATAATACACATACCTTCGGCAAAGCCGAAAAAGAAAAGCCCGACAAATTCGCAGGGGATGCTGAGAATACGAACGCGAATTACGTATAGTTACGCAAGATATTTTTACGGCCTTCGCAGTTTATTGTTACATCAACATTTTCAAGTTTCGTGACATGGAATGGCAATGTAAAAACAAATCCAAACCGACTAGGCTTAATCTGCGAATATAAGGCCACCCCGCCTTCTTCGCCTGAGATATTTCGAAATAAACTACTCTTATATTCAGAGAAATACTGTAGTGACTATCTCGAGAGAAGCAAAAACGGAATCCCAGTAGTTAGGTCTTTTTTTCCTTTTCCTTGGGAATTTGCAGGTGAACTTTTCAGACCTACATTTAAAATACCATTAAAATCCAAATTTTAAATCTATAGTGAACTAACACATGTGTTCCAACATTGATGTTTCTAGACCACGAGTTTTGTAAGTTTTGGAACATCTTTGTCCCTACAAAACAATTTAATAAAGCCTCTTCTTGGTTTATTAAATGTGATGAACATACTGCATTTTATATTACTTTTTTTAAATATTTAAAGTGTTTGAAAGAAGTCGTATTTTCAGACCAAGTACTTGTTACAGGAGAAATACAGTCATAGAGGATTGAAGTATGTCAGTATTTCTGGAATACAAATGGAGATCAACAACTGTCTTATGAATGATTTTTCCCAATAGTAGCATTTTTTCTTCAGCTATTTGCGTTCTTTTGTGTAATGAATTTTGTAATGTGCAATTTTCATGAAAATTATGTCATGTTCATACAAAAGAGAACATTTTTAAAATGTTTATTTCATTCATCAGTTCAGTCCTATTACTCACAAATTGTGGGGGCAATTTTTAATTTGCTTTTTTTAATATTTATTTATTTATTTTTATTATATACTTCTAAAACAAACTAAAATTGCAAATAAAAATGAAAAGACTGTTTCATTTCTTCTTGAAATTCGAAGATTTTTCATTCCAACTTCCTCTCCCCTCCACCTGATTTCACTTAAGCTACCAAAATGTGAGCCGTGAAAACTACTGAATTGATTGTACCCAGATGCCATTCCAGTAACACAAAAATCTGTGACTGCATTGCAACTTTGTTAGTTTTATGGAGGAGGGAGGGTGGGGGGAATTCATAATATCGTCTCTAGATCATGTGTATTATGTAGATAATTGGTAAAGTGATAATAGGATTAGAAAAATACCTAAAAGAAGACTGTCTTTATTAATTCATAGATGTTACAAATATTGCTAAAACATCTTTAATTACTACTTTTTCCCTCAGATTATTCAATTAGTGAAATTTCAGTCAATAATGTGCAAGAATTCACTCCATATGAACCACATTTGAATTAAACAAAATTATCACTTTCATTACCACCACCTCAGAAGAGCTCATGTTCTGTTTACAAAAACACCCAATATAATTTTCCTGATAACTACATGTGGAATTTTCAAGGACCGTCTCTTAATCTTACTACTATAGAAGAATCCGGCTACGAATGAGAAAAAAATGACAGTTCACTAAACAAGTGTATTTCACATGTAATTCAGAGAAGTACCCCCCCAGCATGACAGAGGATTAGCCACACCTTCATAAAGTGTTTATGTTTGTGCATGGTTCCCGTTAAGACATCATGGCTTCTCATGGTTCACAACTGTGGAATTGTATCTAAAAAATTAATTGATAAAATGCAAATCGTGGAACATTCTCGATCACAGCTCAAATTCTTACCAGACAAGACCAGGAAACATGTGCGCCAGTACATATCTGTTTTCAAATATAATACTTATCACACAAAAAGTAAAATCAATGAAAAAATAATTTTTACAGAAAAGCACAATGGTACTGCCTAATTTCAATTATTTCTCATGGCTAACTATATTTTCGTCAGATGAGGACATCACAAAAGGAAGTGTCGAAGCTATTTACATTAGCCAACTGCAAACGAACGAATGAAGGAAGAAGAGTCAAATGAGCTGAAGAACACAATGATCACAGAACCTTCCGTTTTGTTGCCAGCATTATCTGTCAAAAAAAGTCCTTTTATATAAAAATACTCTATAATCACAATTTCACATCAACACGTTCTTTTCTTCCCATAGGGTTCAAGTTCAAGCCAAATGCACAATTATTTTGACATGATCATGTTTCCCTGCTTTTTTCTCTGTAAAATTTCTGCATTTCAATTTCCCTCAGTTTTCCAGGTTTTCTGTTTCTTCAGAATTCTGTCACGCTACATAATATAATATACAACCAAGGTGTATAACAATTTTTTTTAAATAAAATATTCATGTAATTCCCACTTTTCTCCACATGTGTTATGAAATTCATGCTTATTTTTCCCA